TTCTTTTTGTTTAACCACATCTTCTGGACACTTCACTTCAATTCACTGGTTCTTTATTCCTCCATTCTGCTGTCGTCCTCCTCCTCGTCATCTCCTCATCTCGTCCTCTCTCATCCTCTCCTCTCTCTCTCTCTCTCTCATACACATATGTTCTCATCTCTTGTCTAGCTTTGCACAAGCTCATATCTGTTACTGTCTCTACCTTTTTCCCCTCCTATTTTAAAAGACAATTAATTCATGAGCTTCCATTATTTCCCCCAAATTGATTTTGTGTGCATCATCTCTTGTTTTACCACAGGCTTGTGCTCTTCACATCATTGTCACATCTCCACTTATCTCCACTTCACATGCTCCTTTTACAACAAAAGGGCCACTGACAACAGGGCAAGGAAGGCCAGGTCCTGGCCATGGAGAATGAGGGGCGCGAACGCATTGATGATGAGATGATGGTAGTTGTAGAAAAATTGAGGAACATTACTGAACATGTAAGTATTTTCTTCTGAAAATTGAGAAAAGTTAGGATAGTTATGGAATGGGAATTTCCATAGTTCAAGTCAAAAGGACTTGACGGGTGGGGGAGAAAGAAAAGAAAAGAAAACCAGGGAGAACATTTGGATGTTTTGAATTTTATAATAACCACATCTTTCCCTCACCGAATACAGTTGCGCAAGCTTCAGCTCCATAATGCGGCCAATACTATCTCAAAGCACACTCACGATATCATCGAGGAGTTTGGTGAAGTCATGTCGAAGCTCACAGACTCCGAGATCGTGATGCATCCTGCAGTAGTACGTACTTGGCTTTTATCCCATACTAAGTACCTCAGGGCCCTGGCTGGTGGAGGGATTTGTATGGCTCATGGGACTTTTCTTCTTCTTCTTCTTCTTCTTCTTCTTCTTCTTCTTCTTCTTCTTCTTCTTCGTCCCCCCTGCTTATCTTCATTTAGAAGCAGGCCAACCGTCTCAATGGCAACGTAGGTGCGAACGAGAGCCACGATGAACGCGGGAAGATTCAAGTGCAAGTTTGCAAGTCGAAGGAAAAGAGCCTCCTTGACTTGGCGTCTTCTCCACCGGCTCCTCTGCAGGCTAATCTGTGGGCAAAGATAGCAGTCGCAGCTCCCCCTCAGGCCGTCCGTCAAACCAATGGATTCCACAGCATGACTCCACCCAAAGCCGAGACCACAGCAATTCCACTGGTCCCTATCCGCCCTGTTGTGCAAGCGTTGTTGTCACACCCAGCCATGCCGCCGCAACCAGCTCCTCCTACAAGGGGACGACGGACTGGGAGAGCCGGCATCATAATCGTCGAGGGCAAATTTACACTCGGCAGCTTGAACAAGCTTACCGCGAGGATCTGCGAGGGTGCGCTCTACAGCGTTGAGATCCACCATCACACGGGGTTCGCGGAGATCATCTTCCAAAACGCCATGCACGCGAAAGAATTCCTGGCCAAGGACAAGTACACGATGGAGAACACGGGCTTTGGCCGTTTCGGGAAGGGCTTCACGGTCAGGCACGATAGGTATAAGGAGCGGGGATGGGATGCGGATTTGGAGAAGATGGCGAATGGCAATCGGGAGAGGCGTCGATTGACGTTTGTTCGCCCCAAGTTGTTGGAAAGGCCCGATTCGTTTCGGGCGCTGGAGGAGGAGCTTGAGCGGATGGCTGGGCCCGAGGGGATTGATTTCGTGTGGAAGTTCAATGCGGGGAATGGTATGTATCTTATTATGTCCCCCACCTTCCAAAAACCATCGATCATCTTGTGTGTGCCATTTTCAACAAAACTTTGAAGCCGAAGGACGGCAAAAATACCAGTGACTAACTGTATATATGCTCATAAAAAGTGACTGCCGTCTTCAAGAGTGTTAGGACGGCCAGGCTTGTCCGCCATCGTTTCCTGGAAATGGCATCCAAGCACCGGTGTCAGTTTGCGGGCGTCAGTGTTGACTACTCTGCCGATCCGTGCGAAAAGCAATTGACTTTGACACAAAACGGGGTGAGAGCGCGGCCCTAGCACCTTGATCAATAGAGAGAGAGAGAGAGGACCTGGATGGAATGGAATGTTTGGATGGCTTCTTCCCCCAAGCTCCATTGTTTGGAAAGGCTGTTGTTGGGGATATAACTAAGGGCATGAAGTGATTGTTCTGGAGAAATTGTTCCTTTCCCATGGCTATCTGATTCTTGTAAATAGCATTTTAACGTACTAAAAGTGGCCTGGAAATCTTACAATGAACATGAGATTTGCAAAAACAGACTATACAGCATTTTCAAACGATGAATATTGAATGTGGTGATATTCCACGGACAACGCGAATCAACGAATCCAGTGCTTCACTTCTCGACGCGGTTAGTATATAGAGGACACAACGAAGCACTATATTTATAAACCCGGCCTAGAGCCGCTCATAACGAGAGAGACTGGTCTGGCGCACGACAACAACATCCCAACTCTGTTGCGCCCTTAGGAAACACCGACAGCGTTTAGTCTACAGTAGGGCTGACTTTGCAAGACACGATTAACCAGATTCGACACCGCATGGGTTTTAGCCTCGTTCGGCCTTGCAGTTTTTCCTGTCAAAGGTGGCCACTGTGTCAACCGTGTCGAGGTTTGCAGCTTATTTTGCAGCGACGGGAGCCGAGGATGCAACATTCCTTGCTGGTTCGACCAACCAGGAGGCCCCGGAGCGACCGCGGCCTCAGGGGTTGGCTCTTGGCGCTGGGCTCTTGGCGCTGGGCTCTTGGCGCTCCTTACCCGCCAACCTCCAACTCGACCCCGACCTGGGCCTGACGCATTCGTCTTCTCGATCCTGCGCTCTTCTCGTCCTTGATCATCTCTTTCCTCTCTGTCTCCTTCACGCCGCCCGCCTCAAGGACGCATTCCACTCGCTTTGTGCATCCTTCGAGTCAGCGCCCACTCGCTGGTGTCCTGCCAGCTACACTCTCGTTGTTTTCCCCGGCCTTTGCCATTGCGCATACTTCGATTCTCCTCCTCCTCCTCCACCACCTCCTCCTCCTTGTCCCGTTTTCCCATTCTGCTCTATTCATTCTTCCCCCCCTACCCCCGGCAGATAGATTCTACGTCGGTGAATTGGTCAATCGTTGTTTTCTTTACACTTCTTTTTTCTTTTTTCTTTCTCTTTCTTTTTGGCCTTTTTTTAATTTTACACCATGGCCCGGCTTCTGGCCTATCTCGCATGCTTTGTCCTTTCTTCCCAGATCGTGTTGGCGCAGAAGCCAACATCCTGCGGCGAACATAATAAATGCCCTGAGAACGCCCCATGCTGCTCCCGTGAGTTACCTACCCTCTGTTTGCCGGACCAACAAAATATCGCGACAGCTTTACTGATTTCTGGTATTTTCCTCTTTTCTGTCCGTAGAATATGGTGAATGCGGCCTGGGAGCATACTGTCTAGGCGGCTGTGACCCCAAATATTCATTTTCTCTCGAGTCCTGCGTCCCTGCTCCAATATGCAAAAGTATGAAGTACAACTTTAATAATTTGGACAATATTGCCCCAAGAACAAAATACCTCGGCGATGCAAACAAGTCAGACTGGGTCTCGAGTGGGAACCCTCTTACCGCCAATGGCAATCTAGTGATGACCATGGCGCCGGATACCGTTGGTACCCTCTTGTCCAGCGCTCACTACGTGTGGTACGGCAAAGTTTCTGCGACATTGAAGACCAGTCGCGGTGCAGGCGTTATCACTGCCTTCATCTTTATGTCCGATGTGAAGGATGAGATTGATTTTGAGTTTGTCGGCACTGATCTGCATACCGCCCAGACCAATTACTATTTCCAGGGCATCACTGATTGTATGTTGATATCTATATCTTCCCCCCCCCCCCCTTGCGCTCAGTGTCAGATATACCAAAGTCATTGGGCTAACCTCATATTTGGGTAGATACCAAAGGAAAAAATCTCAGTGTCGACAGCAACACCTTTTCGGATTATCACACCTACTCAATTGAATGGACGCCAGACTCAGTCACCTGGTTCATTGATGGACAGCCTTTACGTACCGTACTCAAAAAGGATACCTTCGACAAGGGAGACAACAAGTACCACTACCCCCAAAGTCCCTCTCGACTTCAGCTCTCCCTCTGGGCTGGCGGAAAAGAAAGCGCCCCGGAGGGAACAATTCAATGGGGCGGTGGACTTGTGGACTGGGATCATGAGGATATTAAAAAACACGGGTATTACTATTCGCTCGTCTCTGAAGTTAAAATAGAGTGCTACGATTCCACCTTCGGGTGCGAAGATAAACGGCAGCGTTTCATACATCTACACGGATGCTGCCGGGACCGAGGACACGGTTATGATTACGGATAAATCGACTGTTCTCAAATCGTTCCTTGGCTCCGGCACTGATATGGGTAAAAACGAATCGAAACCAGGTGAGACGGATGTCCCTATGATTCCTGGTCTCAACGGAGCCGGCATTGGGGCCAATGGCCAGATCCCATCTGGCAACGACAGTAACGGGCCATCCACTGATTTCACGGGTCCAAGCGATAAACATGGGTCTAGCGGCGCTCCATCTGAAAACGAACGCGTTCTCAAGGGATCAATATTTGCAGTTCTCGTGGCCGTCATGGTTTTGGTCACCATGTAAGGATAAGAATTTAATACTATTTTTGGATACACTATAACTATCAATGCACGACTCTATGGATATATATTGCTTTTATGTGTTGGGCATACATTATTCCTCATAACAATTTATTTTTTGTTCCTGTTTTCTGTTCTTATCTTGTCCTTTCTATTCCCTGTTTCCTTCATTCATTATCTCTCATCCTTGTTGTGCTGCCAACATCGAATTAATGTCATCCATCTCCTGACTTGCGTTCATGCGCCCGGCCTCTTCCCCATCCCCCTTCAAACCCCTTTCTCTCTCTCGCTCCTACTTGAATAGCGGATGTATCTCATGTGCGATTCTATATGTGGCAATCCTGCTCGAACGTTTTTGAGCCAGCATCAACAAGTATATCCCTTGGTACGAGATAATCGCTAGTTGTAATGTGATTCCCCCTGCCCGCCCAATATTCTCATAAATCTATTTTGTCCTTTTCTTTCTTCATGTACTTCACAAACATAAGTTTCATGGATAAGTCCCTTCTCCTTCGATCATGAAAATTTCCGAAGAAAAGTTAATTTTGGCCGGCTCCTTGTGCTGGTAAAATGGGGAGGAACAACCTTGGCCACACTCCCTGAGAGATGTTTGTATTGCCTCTCTGTACCAACCTTAGGTTTATATGCCAGTGTTTTTCAAATGGCAGGAGAATCGGCATTTCCCGAAGGGCCAGGTGATATCCTTCAGGCTACAAGAAGGCTTCAACCTGATATTCATACCGACATGATTGTGAGTGTTTGCTGGCTCCTTTGTATAACGCTTGAATTCAGGATATTGGATGCATTTGGTATGCTTCCGCTCTTGAAGTGCTTCAACACCCTCGCCAGCAAACTTGACGAGCAGAACATGTATGCTTATAACAAACCCATCCTACTGGTGCTAATAGGACATGTTTCTTTTGAGCCTAGTGGAAGATTTCAGTTTGAAGAAATCGAGCGGTAAGTGTATATTTCGTCGTCCATTTTGTCTTTCTTCACATCCACTGGTCATCTTTGGCGCTGCAGGTTGCCGCTACCAGAAAGCATATATTTGCTTTTCTTTGTATCCAACGCCCTTTCATGAATAAGTATAACTTTGTCATTTTTATTCAGTGTGGTTTTGTTTGAGCTGTGCCTGTTTGGTAGACTTGCCTTCGCTCACTTCTGCTGATTTCTTGCTCCCCCTGGGTTTTTGAGTAGTGCATTGTTTGCTCTCTACTTCACCAGGCTTGTTCTTTACTACAATGCAATGTGCATTGCCTCTTTTCTATGTTTGAATTCTCAGTGAATCCCCTTCTATTACCTACCACAGATGTGCTGGCTGATACAGGCAGTCCATTGTCTCTCTGCATCATGACTCACCCACCTTCCCTTACCCATCAACTGGTTAACTGTGATAGGAGTGTGTTGTAGCATTTCTTCTCTCGGCTACCACCATCATGGCTATTGGAATTGGGGAAATCCTTCCAGCAGCTATTGGCACATAGGTAGCCATATGGCTTCTCAAGGGACTTCATCAGAAAATCTATCTATTTGGACTTTGACCTTGCCACTGGCAGTCACGAGACAAAAAATGGATTCAAATGAACAGCAGCTGGAAGCCAATAGCAAAGAAAAGGGAATGGGGAATGGTTATGGCTTCCTGCCCAACATACACACTCTCTCTGTGTTTTTTGAGGGAACTTTGCTATCAACCGCTTCTTCATTGTCTGCCTACTATTCTTCCATTCACAGACTTCATTCTGTGTTTTTGAAGAAAGCAAGAGAGTGACGGAGCACAAGTATAAAATAGGACCTCCATGGAAGAAGATTCCCTTCTTCTCTTTTTTTTAATTCCTCTTCTCTCTCTATCTCAGAACTTTCTAACTACTTTTCTTAATTCAACAATCTGATTCAGCCAAGTTTGCTTTTGAGTAATAAGCAAAATTTAAGCTGAAGTGTGGTGCTCTTTCT